ACCTGGAAATTCTCCTGTCCCTTCTCCCAAAGTCAGGACAGCCAAAGCCCAGGCCTTTGTACTGGTTACCCCTGCGAAGGACATAACCACCGAAGCCGGACGTGGTCTCCGCTTCCTTTCCCATGTCACCCAGGACTGGGAGGCTTTATATTGATCGACACACTCCTGGTGTAATTATTCTGAAAGGGCATCTGGAGGCGTGCTTCAGTTTCTCCCAAATTCCTGTTTCCCCAGTTGTGGCCAAAAATAAAATGTGGCCTTCAATTCCATAGAGCCATCTATGCACAATACATATGTTGCCACAAATAGTTTTGGAGAAAGAAAACTACCAAGTTGCCCAAATAGCTAGCTCGCCTGTCGGTGGAGTCAATGACAAAAAGGATCTTTGATTCTATGTCTTGGGTATTTAACCCCACGAAGCAGCTCCCTCCTCCGCATGGTGTCACTTCTTTAAAAAATAATCGTAATACTCTCAACAATAAAAATAAATTAATGTTTAAAAAATCTCACTGCAAGGAGGCTAGAAAGGAAACATCAGTCTTCCCTGGAAATGCCTTGAGGGCAGAAGCAAGGCTGCTACACACATCACACTGAAAATCTTTAAATTCCTCCTCCGACATCTCTCCCACGGATCACTCCTCATGGTAACTGCTGAAACCTCATGTAATCTTCTCCCCCTCATCCCGAAGGCTAAAAATCCTTGTGTGTTCATGCTGCACACACTGCTTCCCTCCCCCTCCAGTTTGGATCCTCCCTGCTCTCACCTGGTAGCCCCAGCTGCTCATATCCTTGAAGATTATAGCACCTTCTCCCCACCACTCCCATTACATCCCTTTTTTTTTTTCATTTTAATTTCTAGTTTTTCAATTACACTCTACTTTCAATATTATAATTATTTGGTATTAGTTTCAGGTGTACAACAGAGAGGTTAGACAATCATATGCTGTACAAAGTGATCCCCTCCACTATTTCTAGTACCAGCCTGGCACCACACATAGTTATCATAATGTTATTGACTATAGTCTCTATGCTGTTTTTTACATCCCTGGGACTATTTGTAACTACCAATTTGTTCTTCTAAATCCCTTCACCTCCTTCTCCAAGTCCCCCAACCCTTTTAAGACCCCACTCAGCAAATAAACAGAATTTCTCCTCCAAGGAATACACCTTAGAAAGCAAGGGAAGGGAAAACCATAAATGTTTATAATTTTTACATATTTTCTCTTGTCACCCACAAATGGGTAGAAGAGGGGGAAAGTCACTCCGTGGTGTCCAGTATGGGGAAGGGAGGAGACCAGCACCTCAGTTCAAGATTTTCTCCAGTTTCTACCATAACAAGGAGGAAATAAAGAAAACCGAGAATTTCTGCACAGCTAATATATAGCCCTTCTTTTTAAACACAAAAGCAAAAAGAACAGAAAACAGAAGGAACAGTAACCGTTTATATAATATGAGTGAGTATAGAATCGGACCTTGTCATATAGTCTTCCTAAAGAAAACTTGCCTCCTACAATCTGATTGTCTCTGTTCTCCCATCCCTCCCTCGTCTCTTTAACTTCCTGAAGTTCTCCTGAGAGAGACACTGTTAATGAAAAGACTAAGTTAATGAAATCATACCAAATCCAGCCAGATTAGTGAAAATCTTCTCTCAAAACTCCCGAGGCCTCTAAGACAATTAGTTGTAGAACAACTTCACTTTCCAAACTTGAGCTGCAGCCACATGACCAGGAAGTTGAAATGTTAAGAGAACAAGGCTTTATAGGGTGAAATATGGAAGCAGAAGAGTTGTGGGGAGGAAATGATTTCTTTACCAACAACTCCTGAGTTCTTCCAAGAAGCCACTCTTTACAACCTTTGGCTTCTCCTAATCTCCTGTTCCCCACCCCACCTCAGTTGTCACCACCATCATCATCATTACTACTACCATCATCATCATTGACCACCATTATCACACCATCACCATTCCAATGAACTCCTTCAAGCCTGTTGTCACCAAGAATTGCCCAGCACATCTCTCCCCCAACTTCTAACACAAATAACAACCTTAACCTACCAGGGTTCTGTCAGGACCTATCATCCTCTCTAATCTCCCACATGCCACTAAAGTCCACAGCAGTTGCACATATGTAGGTGCAAGTTCCTTCAAAAGAATTGAAAATAATTTTTCCCAACAAAAATGTAGTCCCTGAAGAACATGTTATTTTGTTTGCAGTGAGCCAGGAGTTATTTTTCTATGCCACCACCGCCCGTCCCCACCCCAAACTGGAAAGTCCCGGGCCCCTGTGTTATCCCTCTTGGCTTTTTTCCCCAGTCTTTTTCCCCACATTCTTGCTCTAGAATTTGGCTGTGCTGTAGAAGGGACACTACTGTGCAAGTCCAACCCCCAAGCTGGTAGAGTGCAGATGCATTTGTTTTGATGCTAATGCTGAGCTGAGAGTCATTTTCTCCAATCCTCACATTTTACACATCAGCAGGCAAAAGCCAGTGTAGTGAAGTCACATGCCCAAGGTCACCACAGAGGACTTACGTGTTTGGACCATCAGCTCCCCCTACAGCTGCCAATAAAAAGAACATTTCAAAAACCACTGGTTTCCCATCATTAGATTCCATTCTACTCATATAACATCAAATTGTGGTTCTCATCTTTCTGCCAAGACCCTCTTGTTATTCCCCACCAACACCACCTCCCTTGAATCCTGTGGTTTCAAACATTTACCTGCCAAACTGCATTTTTTTAATAGAATTCATTGCCTATTTTTAGTAATCAAGAACAAACATAATCTGATATATTTGATGAGTAGGATGAAATGCCCAATGTTCCCATACTGCACAGATATATGGAAAAATTGCTGTAGATATATATATGTATTTTTTAAATCAGAAGGCATAAGATTTTTCATGAAAGTGGCATAGGTTGCCTCATATCATTGTACTAGAGGTCCGGTGCATGAATTCATGCAAGGGTGGGTTCCCTCAGCCTGGCCAGCCATCAGGTTGATCGGGACCAGCCAGGGGGAGGGACCATGGGGCGTTGGCTGTGGGAGTGCACTGACCACCAGGAGGCAGCTTCTGCGTTGAGCGTCTGCCCTCTGATGGTCAGTGCGCATCATAGCAACCGGTCGTTCAGTTGTAACAGTCACTTAGCTTTTATATATAGAGATAATTTCTCTTGGGCCTTTTCAAACTTTATAAATTGCTTATAGTTTTCCTCAATACTACTTTTATGGACCTCAAGTTAAGAGCTATTTGAATGAGTAAATTCTGTATTCTAATTTTCTCAACTCTAAGTAGGAATTATACTCCTATAATATTTAGCTAAATAGAACTATAAATGAAGCCGTCACAATTCCAATTACTACTGGCACTGCCTTTAATCAAAAACGTCTTTCAGTATTATTATAAAATCGTTCTTCAAAAATGATGTCTATGTAAGTGAATATAAAATAGCCTATCATACTCAATGCATAATGAAAATATTCATGAGAATTTCAATCATTTGATACTGTGCACCAAATTAGATCAAGAAATCATTGACATAAATCAGAACATTAGTAAATTCTTTGAGTGTTTTTTCAACAGAAAATTCTAATTAGATTTAACATTAGTGCATCTACAATATTGGATTCTAGGCGATTTTCAGCTGGTGATTTTTTAAACATGCAATACCTGACTATTTAGTCAGGGGCACTGATCTCTTTTCCCTTAGATTGTCAAATTAAAAAATGACAGCAGCCAATACAACAGTAGCTGTCCGGTGTGAATGAATCAAAATTACACCTATTTTTTTGTCAGATTGGCAAAGATATATTTTCTTTTTTGGTATGCAGCAGAATTTTAGTAATTAGTGTATGTGTGCCATTAGATAAGAAAGGTTGAAAATCACTGTCTAGGGAAATAGCAGAGATAAAAAAGAAAAAAAGCAGAGTCTAGATGAGTAAGTAATATGGTACAGTCATTGTCACTAGCAAGCACTCAATAAACGTGAGTGCTCTCTTTTTTATATATTTTTATTGATTTCAGAGAGAAAGGGAGAAGGAGAGAGAGAGATAGAAATATCAATGATGACAGAATCATCGATGGGCTGCCTTCTGCATGCCCCCACTAGGGACCAAACCCACAACCCGGGCACGTGCCCTCGACTGGAATCAAACCTGGGACTCTTCAGTCCACAGGCCAATGCTCTATCCACTGAGCCAAACGAGCCAGGGCTAAATGTGAGTGCTCTTGCTTCTTCAATACACAATCTGAAAATTTGATAAGATATTTTTTTTGGCCCTGTGCATCTAAGCTATGAAGACAAGTTTGTCCCAGAAATCCTTGATAAAATAATTTATGGAATAATGATATGTCTGAGAGACTGAAAGGTCAAGTAGAAAATGTCTCAGTTGTTCCTATTGTTTGGGATTGAATTGACAGGGTGAGAATTCTGTGAGTCATGTTTAATGTGCAAGGTCTTAAATCATAATGATTTGAGCTACAAACAAATACTGGTTCAGTTCCAACAAAAGTAAACAGAGAAGCATCAAAGCTGAAAGCCCTCTTTGGGGTTGGTGGCCTTTACATTGTAAAGCATCCTTTTCAAATCAGAGGACGGTCTTCAGAGGTGGTACATGGGTCCCTGGGACCAGAGGGCAGAAAGGCTGCAGTGGCTCCTCCTGCTTGCTGACCGGTCAGGAAGAGCGTGCAGGCCTCTCACAAGAAGCAAGGGGACAGTATCTGCATCCCCCGCATTGCTGAGGCCTTGCTCTTCTGGCCAAGGCTCTCCCCCACCGGGGGTGGGGGGCTGGGGGTGGAGGGGGGGACCCTCACCTCTCTATGGCCCTCCTTGACTCCTTGTCTCTCAGCTCTTGTTTTGTTGCGTCCTATGATTTCTAAATAGGACAGAGCAGCTTTCTATTTGTTTTGTTTGAAAGCCTGCCTATTTTTTTACTCTCTTGTTTCATCCTTTCTATGAGGCTCTGTTTTATTTCTCTTATTTGCTTTTATGTCTTTCTTTTAAGTGCAGGATGGCATGGGCGCCAGGAAAATGATGAGGACAATATGCCTCTGAACCAGGAAGGTATATATCATCTTCACTCTAGTTATCTCTGCACCAGCCATTTTTAATGCCCCCAAACCATATCTGCACTGCTGACCCCTTAAAATGCAACGGAGGGGCCCAGGGCACAGGCCTGTGGTTAGGTCCACCTAAGGTCCAGTGTGGCTCTACCTCTTCAGCTGTGACCTTGGGTAGTTGCTTTTCCTTTCTTAATACTCGGTTTCTCCATCTGTGAAATGGAGGTGATCATTTTTTTTATTTCAATATTAGTGTAAGGGTCAAAAGAAATAACGTAATGTGCTCAACACCATGGCTGAAACTTTGCTAGCCTCAAGTAATAAATGGTAGATGCCATCATCAACCACCACCATCTCCTCAGTATCTCCAGGCCAAATGCACCATCCCTGCCAGAAAAGCTGAAGGAGACAAAAGCAGTTGTCCTGTTACCTTACTTCAAATACATTAGAGGATGGATTTGATACATTCCATAACCACTTTGAATCAGAGACCCCAAGAAACTCAGTCACCTCACAATTTTGCCTAAGGCTGGTTTCCTCAACTTCAGCACTATTGACATTTGGGGATGGACACGTCTTTGTTGTCGGGGCTAGCCTGTGCATTGTAAGATATTTAGCAGCATCCCTGGCCTCTACCCACTAGATGTCAGTAGGGCACACACATACAACCAAGTTATGACTGCCAAAAATGTCTCCGGACACTTCCAACTGTCCCCAGGAAGGCAGAAAACCTGGCTGAGGACTGCCACCCTAGGACAGCCCCATAGGCACTTATGATAACTACAGTCTCTGTATCTCCTTTTGAATTAATAAATGGATCCACCAAATAACCCTCATACAGAGGTGACATATAGGAAGCTCCTGCCTCACTTTGACAGTGTCCTTCCTCCACCCCCACCCTTTTCTCATCTTTCCAGGTAAATGTAACCCTAGAATCGAGGCCGTTGTAAATGAGGCAGTCCCAGGGAGTACACTGCCCATTCTGCTTAGGGTAGCAAGCTTGGATCATTTTGTGACACTTGCCACTTTACTTGCCACATCATTCTAAATAAACATAGCAATGAGAACATGTATTTAGGTTGAGGAGCACTTTGGTACCACCATTTCAGTAGCTCAGTTTGCTCTGCAAAGCTGTCATCTGTAGACATATGGCAGACAAACAGGATAATTGCTAATAGCCCAATACTTTTCATTCTTTTGGTTACTATTTGGTCAGAAAATAGGCCAGACTTCCATAAAGCTGTAAATGTTTGTATCTTAAGCTGTGACCTTTTTGTTTTTCCCTAAAACATCATGCCTTTCAAGTTCTTAGCATCAATGTTCTCAGACACTAAAGTTTTATGGTCGAAATCAGGCAAATCATTTGGACATAATGTCCTTCCTACATTTCTAAATAAACATGCCCTTTGACTCCATTCTTTTGGAGGAGAGATTTTGCTTTCTGAAGCCAAGTTTCCTGAGGAAATAGATGAATCTCTCTCAAAGCAATATTTGTGCTAAGAGATGGTCCATCATAATTTCCATAGGATTTCCCATCAGGGCAGCTTGGCCCATCTTGAGGAACTTCCAGGCACAGCTCTGCCTTTTAACGAGCTTTGTGAGTTGTGAGGAAATTATTTATTTCTAGGGCAATTGTCTCCCCTGTAGAATGTAGTATAGTGGTTATGAAAACAGCTTCCTATTCATTGCCTATAACTTTGGGCAACATCTTCAGCTCTCTCAGCTAAAGTTTCTTCACCTGTGAAATGAGCTGACAATACCTCCTTCACAACCATTGTTGTAATGAGTAAAATAGTATGCATCCTGCCTTGCACACAGTAGGCCTTCTACACGGGTTAGCTGTCACCATCATAAACTCAAAATGAAATCATCCCTTTGTCAGTTCTAAATTATTTATTGTCCTTTTAACCTTTCAGATGGGCATCTAGAACACAAATCAATTCTTTATTAGCTTGGATGTTCTAATTATTTGCTTATTTTTGCCTTTTTTATAAGTTCTTTGGTCACTTGGAGGCAGAGCCCATACAACCATAAATATTAACTTTTAAAAAAATATTTTTTTATTGATTCAGAGAGGAATGGAGAGGGAGAATGAGACAGAACCATCAATGATGAGGGAGAATCACCGATTGGTGGCCTTCTGCATGCCCAACACTGGGATCAAGCCCGAACCCAGGCATGTGCACCAACAGGGAATCAAACCGAACTGTGACCTCCTGATTCACAGGTCAATGCTCAACCACTGAGTCACACTGGCTAGGCAACGTTAACTCTTTGAAAAATCCTCACTGGGAAACAGAATCACTCCGTGCACAGCTGTCTCTTGTTTGATAAATTTACTGGAAGAAAAGACATTTTAATTAGAAAAACAGCTCTTAGTGTTTGAGGTATAGAGTGAAAATGTCAGAATTTGAACAGTGTTGAGATTGAGCAATAAATCTTTGTGGTCTACCTAAAACCATATTTTTTCAGTTAAAAGATCATGGGACAAAGAATCAAAAGACCCATCTCAGCTCTTCCTCTGCCTGGGTGACTTTGAGTAAGAAAGTGACCACTCTGAGCTTTAGTTTCTTTCTTTCAAACCTCTCGTTATATATTCTAGTCCATAGCATTTAGTTATTTTGCCTGTGAGGATCATCTAAGTCATTTGGTGTTGACTTCCTATTAGCAGCTAAAGGGCTGATGTGGTAGGCCAGACCTCCTTGAGTTCAGATCCTGACTTTATCATTTAGTCACTGTGTGACCTTGGGCAAGTTGTTTAACCTCTCTGTGCCCCAGTTTCCTCATCTAAAAATAAATGAGGGTAATATTTCTACTTCACAGAGTTTTTGTGAAGATTGAATTTAAAGTGTTCAGAATGGGTGCCTGGCATATAGGAAGCATACATTAAATATTACCTATTTGTTTATTATTTCATTGGCTGTCTCCATGGAGGAAAATCTTAAAAAGATAAAATTCTAATCAGATTTCTTGGTGTTTGGGATTTTTCCATTTAATGAACCAAATTTATCAGCTTATCACTTGGGAAATAAAGACATTAAATACCCATCATCCTCACTTCCCTAACCTGCAGTCCATCAAACACTACTTTCCCCTTTGATTCCTGAATGGGAAAAATCTCTCTGTAGAGTAAATATTTTCAATTGGGTAACCCCACATGTTTAACAAATTCTATCTACTTTAAATGGAGACTGTGTCCGTAGCACAGTGCCTCAAACATCAATGTGCATGTGAATCACACGACAATCTTATTAAATTGCAGATTTTGACTCATCAATTCTGTGGCCAGAATCCCGCATTTCTAACAAGCTCCCAGGTGATACAAATGCTGCAGATTCTCAACTACACTTCCAGTAACCAGGGCTTGGAAACTCATGAGCCATTTGAGGATGGAGGGCACAAGGTGGCACACCTGGCCCTCGATGGGGGCAAGCAGGTTGGAGAGAGGCAGGCCTTTGGGGAACCATTGCCAGACACCCCTCTCCAGCCCCAGGCTCATCAGCTCTACTTTATGTAATTGAAAAGTTAAAAAAAAAAAAAAAAGGTATGAAAAGGACAATAGAAATCCCACTTACTTCTCTTGATTCTCCTAAACTGTAAAAACATCATTAGAATAGATGGCACCAAGCAGTGTGACCCTCCTGCAATGCTAAATTCTCTTCCACAAGACAGGCAGGTGGGAAACAATTGAATCCTCCACACCATTTCTGCTACTGGGACAGGAACTCTGAGGTACAGATGCTGCTAAGCCAGACCCTCCAGGGGAACATACCCTCCAGGGGCTGTCATACCACTAGGGCCCACTTCATGAAGCGTGGGTTTGATGGATTTAGCAATATTCTAAGGGCCTGAAAAAAAGCCCGGAAGCTCCTTCTTCCAAGGAGTCCTAGCCTATCTCAAAGCTTACCTGCTGAAGGGCAGAGTGAGGAGGTGCGCATGCAGCATTTCTGTTCCTGAATGAAAGGAAAAAGCAAACCTTTCCAGATTGAAGTGTGTCCTGCCTAAATGAATTCTTCATAGTTACTTATATGCACAAAAATATATCAATGGAAAATGGTAGTGAAGGGGAATCTGTAGACTTTGACACCAGTGTATATTTTTGTCCATGTTGTTAATCCCTGGGTGTGACGGAAAGAATATGTGTGCTTTGCTGCCAAGTAAGGAGACTCCCTGCAGTGGTTCTCAACCTTCTGGCCCTTGAAATGCAGTTCCTCATGTTGTGACCCAACCATAAAATTATTTTCATTTCTACCTCATAACAGTAATTTTGCTACTGTTATGAATCGTAATGTAAATATCTGATATGCAGGATGGTCTTAGGCGACCCCTGTGAAAGGATCATTCGACCCACAGGTTGAGAACCGCTGCTTTAGATTGTGATGTATAATATTGACCTGCTCATCGAAGAGTCACACTATGTCTTTCCATTTCAGAAATTGTACATCTCAAAGTGTATTCCTTATCCACAAATTATGCCCCAGTCTGGTTTCCAAAGTTAGAAAAGATTCTCATGCATTTGCTACTTTTGGAAGGGGTATTTCAAGCTTGGGAACATAAAATGGGGTCGCTCTTATAGGCTACCTCATGTTTTGTTTTGGGTTTTGTTTTGGTTTTTGTTATTTTGTGTTGGTTTTGTTTTTTTGTTTTTTTTTTTCAAAAATGTGGGTTCAGATTGGCAACAAGAATAAATATTATGATCTGAACTTTCATGCAGGAGAAATCTAATCCTGGCAGCAAACATCTGTTCCCTTTTATGTGCATTTGTGGCTCTTTAATAGGAATGTTTCTGCAACAGCTGTAGCTTTTCTAATATCCTAAATGGAATCACCCTGGCCTTTAGAGTAATTACCTCCAAGTTTGAGTCATCCGACCTGAGGCTTCTCTGATCAAATGGGTATGAATTATGGAAAATCAAGTACCCATTCCTGGGGGAGGAGTCCATTGTGCCCTCCGGAGAGCACTCGCCCAGTCTTTGGGGCTCTGGTCAGTGTTCCAGCCGCCAAC